AGGATAGCAGCTGTCTTGTTTACCACTGTCACCCCAGCACCCAGGAGAGAACTTGGCACATAATAGGAATTCTTTATTATGTACTGAACAGCGATACACACTAAATGCTGCAAATGAATTAATCAGCTTATACAATGAAATATTGACTGAGTTGTAAATTGGAAATAATTCTTATATTTAAGTAGATTTTCTTTCAAGGAAAATATCTACTCTCCACACACACAGATTAGATATTCGCTATAGGTGCCAGAGGCTTCAGATTTCTCTAGTATTCTTTTTTTTTAATCTCTCCTATTGACCTTGGGCTTTCCTATGTACTCCTCCTCAGAGAGAACTGCATCATGTAGCTCTTTCAATTGCAATCCACTGTTATTATGCTGCAGGGCTGTTGGTATGGTGATAAGGTAGGAGAGAGGGGAAGCCTTCTAATATAATTAAAACTCAATCTTGTAATGGACCTGTGTCCCTGAGCTTGAACCTTCAAGCGTGTTTCTTAGCTTCTGCACCTCCTCCGTGACACAGACAGGAAAGCTGGTGGAGACTGACGTGAGACAAGTGTCCTTTCCTCAGGTTGAGAAAAGCTCTGGTAAAGTCTTTCTTCCTGGAGAGGGGAGATTTGTTACAGAGGAAGTGGCTCTGGGTATGCTTCACTAGGATTACTCTATGGCCATGAGAGCACCTTCCTCAATTCTTCATTAGGAGAAACTGGTGGGGTTCCTGGAGGTAAAATGCATGAATTGGGGGGCATCCCTAAGACTGTGACTCCCAAGAGGTTCTTATCTTCATGCTGGTTCACACTCAGCACCCAGCAATTCCTCAAAATTATTAAGCATTCCTACAAGGCTATGATTTCAGCAGAGCTTCCAGTTCCAGGTAAGCAGGCTTCAGCAGGGATTCTCAGGATTCATGTTTCTCCTAATTTTGAGATAGCAGTTTGCCATGCAAATTCACCTCTCTGATGGGTCCAAGAAAAGTCATTGGTTTTCAAGTTGTCCAAATTTTTCTTGTTGTAAGACAGAAGTGATGGTTTCTACACTCTTTAAATGTTAGAGCTGAAACTAGAAGTCCAAACATTCCTTAAGAGTTACCGCCATTGACTTCACCTTCTACAATTTCTAGAAAATTCCCCTATGAGAAATTATGTCTCAGTGGAGAAAGAAGAAACTATTGTTTATATTGAGAAGAGATTATACAAAATTAAGCCCTGAGGAAAAAAAACTCAGATTCCAAATTCTACCCTCAAAATATCTGAACAGTCTGTTAGACTAACACTGCATTTTTTCCTTATGTATGCTTGATTTAAAGACTTAGCAAATCATTATTCAAGTTTAAATATTTATTTTTCCTTAATCCATTTCAGGCGAGATAAGGAACAAGATGATTCTGTCTGATTTTGAACTTCAGGGACAATGCTTCATAATTGGTTATGATGGAGACCTAAAATGTATTCTTGATTAGAGTTCATAGTGGAAGGGCAAAGTGATCAGTAATTTACAATCTATATGATTTTGGTTAAACTAGGAACAATTATAACTACTTTGCTGCATATTAAAATAATTAAATTAACTAAGTAAGAAACATGATCATGGGCTAGCAATACAAAATTATCACATGTGAGCTAATGTATAAATATTAGCAGGTCCTATGTAGTCATGAGATATTGAATATAGCATCTCCCTTAAAATCCTGCTGTTTGAATTCTGAACTATGGGGAAATGAGTAGAGAATACCCGTTTTCAGCCAACCTTAAGAAAGGAAGTACAGAATAAAACGCCAAAGGAAAAAAACCCAACATGTGCAATTTCTCATCAGTACTCTCCTAAATCTAAATACCTCTTCCCTAGCTTCCACAACCATCTGACGAAATTGTAACTTATTTAAGTTCAAATCAACATTTTCAAAGAGCCTAGTTATTACTGATACAAAGACAGCCTTCAAAGAACTTGAAGTCTAGAGAAGAATTCAGAAATGCAAATAAAACAAGGAAAAATTGAGCATGATTTTTATGTAAGAACAAATTGTGACTAGAACAGAATAAAAACTAGATATAGACACATCCATACAGATACTTGGGATTTATGAAAAAAAGGGCACTGAACTCAGTGCAGTAGGAAAAGGAGGGTCTTTTAAGCAATGGTGGTGGTTCAGCTGGAATTTTGGACTCTTCTACACAATACACACACACACACATCAATTTTACATTGATGGTATATACAAATGCTGAAGGCAAAACAAAACAAAACAAAAGTTTCTAAAGTTGCCATGTAGTATCTTCATTAATTTGGGGTAAATAGAGATTTCCTAAAAAGGAAACTAAAATGTACTAACCATAAATAAGATCGATACATTGGATTAACATAAAATAAGGAACTTCTATTAATCTAAAGACACCAGTAAGAGAGTAAAAAGATAAGCAGGGATGTGGAAAAAGATATTCAAACTATATCTACCCAACAAAGAACTAAGGTAGACATTACATAAAGAAACTTTCCATTCTGAAAACAGACATATCAATTAAAAACATCAGCAAGGGACATGAATGGTTACTTTACAAAAAAAAAAAGATATTCAAACGGCAAAGAAACATTAGAAAGATGTTCTATGTCTGATGAGTCATCAGGGAAATTCTAAATAAAACCAACATTTTTCATAACTACATACTCATTTTAATAGCTAAATGTAAAAATATTGACAATCGCAAATATTGATGAGAACGCAAAGCAACTGAAATCCTTATACTCAGATAGTGGAAACCAAAATTGGCAAAACTGTAGGGCCTTACCTTGTCATGGCATAGAATAAAGCTGAATAGGCACATCCCATATAATTTATCAATTCCACTCCTAAATATATTACCCAATAGAAATACCTTCTACATATAGCAAAAGATAGGTACAAGAATAAAAGAGTATTCTATACATTATTCCTAATCTAAACTGGAAACAACCCATATGATCATCAATAGCAGAATGGTTAAATAAATTTTGGTGTTTTACTACCTTAAATATTATATATCAAGAAAAATAAACAGACTATTGGTATATATAAAACAGCATGGAAGAATCTCACAAACACAGTATTTAATAAAAGAAGCCAGAAATAAATGGGTAGATACTGTATAATTTCATTTCAAAGTTCAAGAACAAGCAAAACTAATACATGGGTTAGAAGTCAGAGAATGGCTACCTCTTTGGAACAATGATTTGTGCACAAATTTGTATGTTACATTTCAACTACAATTCCACTTAAAATTATTTTTTAAATAAACAGTCCAATAACATCAACAATAGAATCAACAATATGTCTGAGATAACAGTAGGCTAAGTCACAGTGTGATTTACTCTTCAGGGTAAAGGGTGAGGAAAGGGTTGTGAAAGACTACAGAATATAAAGGGTGTACCTGGATGCCTGGGTGGCTCAGTTGGTTAAAAATCTACCTTCAGCTCAGGTCACGATCCCAGGGTCCTGGGATGGAGCCCCACATCAGGCTCCTTGCTCAGCAGGGAGCTTGCTTCTCCCTCTGTCTGCTGCTCCCTCTGCTTGTGCTCTCTCTCTCTCTCTGTCTGACAAATAAATAAGTAAAATCTTTAAAAATATATATAAAGGGTACAGATGTCACAAATTCAAAACATCTAGGAGAGACAGGCAGGTAAGGCAAAAGAATGAACTAGAATGGATTTCACAACAGCAGCATGAACACGAACATAGGAGGAAGTGGCATTCTGCTTCAGTGTCAGAAAGTCTACAAGGAAAGATGAATTCTGAGAACCAGAGGCATATGTCTTCTCTCAAGGAAACAACTACTAGTCAGCTCCTGGAAACCATTGTCTTTTTTTGCATGCTGACACAGTTTCTAGATATTCCAGTTCTTCAGAAACGTTAACGTTGCGCCTTTACAGTTTAGTTTTATTTTAATTTGGAATATATATACCCCTACACATTTTATGCTGAGTGAGGGAAAATGTATCTCTAATATAGATATGTCCTGGAGTATGTAGCTTCTGGTAAATACTGCAATAGTTCAGATTGATCTTGTCTAGCTCTGTGTCTGTGTCTGGCACAGGATGGTTTAAGACATAGGGAATAAAATAGTTGCTGAATAAATCAGCAATTACTAAATGAAGTTGGACTGTGTTTTTAAAGCTGAGGGCAAGTTTTCAGGGTAGGTTGATCAGAGGTGCGTGCAGGCCTTGATGAAGACACATGTCAAAGGGCAGATAATTATAAAACGCTGTGTGTTCAAGGACCTACATGTAAGTTAGAATTGTAGGAGGTTAGTGGTGGCAACATTGGGAAAGGGACAGAGCTGGAGAGGTGGGATGGAGGAAGACAATGATGGAAAACAGATGCCATGGTCAGGGGTTGGCTTTGTTATTATATGGCAATAGAGCATAGGAAGCCACCAAAGGCTTACACGGGAAGGAAACATGGTTCAGTTTGCAATTAGAAAGGAGATTTTGGTGGAAGTATGTTCACTGGATGAGAGATAAGGAAAACGTTCCTAATCCTGCCTTCTCAAAGTCACTTCCACCGAGGGCTTTTTGGGTCTCTGAAGTACCTAGGATCAGAGATCTAGAAAGAAGCTTGAGGAAGAAACCATCAAGCTATTCCACTACTGTGAGATAAGACATATGGTTGCGGATCCCATATCCTGTTCACTTATCTTGCAAGCAGTTGAGGTTGGTCATTTCTGTGTTCAAATGAAATAATGAAAGACAAACTGAAGAACCAGATTCTTAATTCTGACTTAATCTCGTTTATTACAACATGAACCAAATAAATTCTTCCCACACCTGAGTGACATTGAACAGCATTGTAAATCAAATAATTTTATGCCAAGGAGAGATGCAAAAAAGATAAAAATAGGAAAGGAGCAGCTCAAATTACATCTCAGTCAGAGTAAAAGCAAGAAAAGGAACTACTAGGAAAGAAGCACAAGTCCACAGAGTTTGAATTTTTGTCCTGGATCCTTGGCGTGATTATTAACTGGAACAAGGAAGCTACTGGCCTCCCAGCGCAGAGCAAGATGGACGGCAAGTACTGAACACGTGGCTCAGGGGCTGGCATCCAGCGAAAACAGGATGCAGAGGTCTGAGGCTGCTGGGCACAATGCTCAGTGGTTGAGGACCACAGGGCAAAAAACCCACAGGGCGGCATCCATAAGTGAGGAGACTCAGGGGTCGGCTGCTGCTGGACACATAGCTCAGAGGTCTATAGGACGTGGGGAGGCAGGAGCCAGAGATATAAGAAGCAGCAGGAAGAAAAGAAGTTCCATGGCAGGGTCTGGACACGTAATAAGTAGTAGAAGGGCAGCAAGATGTTTCACAGTTGCTGGGATCACAGTGGGCTGGCTGGCAACTGGTTGGTTCACTGCAGCTCTCCTGGCAGTTGTCCGGAGGCTGGAGATGGTCTTGACAGTTCCTAGGCAAGCAGAGGACATCACCACAGCTCATACCCGTAGAGCAGAGGACAATGGAGGAGGTGAGAGGAATATGGCAGGGACCTCTGAGGGATCCCAAGCTATAGTTTGCAGAGCAGTTGTGGCAAGACATGGTGAGGTTTCAAAAGCAGGCTGCAGTTGAATGGGAAGACGCGAGTGTCTCCCCTCATTTGGTTGAACCCTTATATATCCCTAGAAGGTGGTGATTGTGTATACAGACTCTTCCTCCTTGTAGGAAGCTGCATCAGAACTCTCCATTATAGCCCTGGAAGTGGTGCTCCCATGTCCCATAAACCTGGATGTTCCTTCCATTGATTGAGTATATCTATAAGGAAGTGTGACTGAATTTTAATAGTATCTCTCCTTCTTAAATTATCCAATGAAAACAGACAGGTCTGAAGGTCATTCACATAATCCAAATATAACCACCACTACATAAACATTCTTAGAATTCCTCTCTTGGAATTGCTTTTAAAAGTTGTAGCAAAACTCTTTGGAGGAAAAAAAAATTGTAGTAAAATTCTTTGCAACGGTGGCAAATTAGCTCTCTTTGAGGGGAAATTCTGTTCTTTTTTGAAATTGTCAATAGTAAGAAACTCGAAAAGCAAGTATGTTGTAAAAGAATGTGAAAATTTATTTTTTATTTATTTTATTTTATTTTATTATGTTATGTTAGTAAAAAAAAAGAATGTGAAAAATTCTATAACCTATATGATTTGGGACAGAAAAAGTTTAAAAGCAGCATAATATGAAAAATTTCAATGTGCCTAAATTTGTGTGTTGCTTTATTTTGGAATCCTGGTAGAAAATGACTTCCCACCAAAATATTTTTATTTTAAAAAGCCATACTCATTTTATTCATTTCAATAAACAGAGTCATGATGAAAGCTTGGTTTATGTTTAAAGTATTCTTAATATAGATCAATAAGATGGGCTCAGGCAAAAATATGGACACTACTGTGAACAAAGGCAAATAAACAAAACCCCTCAAAGAAAGCTGAACAGCATGACATTTTTTAATAGCTAGTACGGTTTATATATTTCATGCTTACTTGTGTTCCAACCAAAAACTAATGTTCTTGGTAAAAAAAAAAAAAAAAATAGAAATAATGATTAAGACCTGGAAATGGGTTTGGTTTTGCTTCTTACATTGGTTCTGATGTCAATTTCCAAAAAATAGCTTCTAAACTACTTTAAATGGGAAATAGCATCAGAATAAATGTACAGTTTTTCTAAGCATTAGTACTTTGAAAGCTATTTGGGGATATACTTTCCGGTAAAAATTGGTTTAAAAATGCTTCAGTGTGTTTAGCTCATCCATTCCACTGTATTTTTATATCCCAGAATATCTAGTGGCTCCAGTGGCTACTTTAATGGGAATTTTAATTACCTTGCTGGATCTACTTTCCAATTCCCTTTAGCTAAAAATTCAGTGTAAATCACAACAGTTTCTTCCATTTTAATGTTCAATGGATACACCCACACTTATTAAGTCTCCCTCTGTCTAGGAGGAGATGGGAGGCGCCAAATCTCTGAAGCAGAAGACTAGTTTCTCTATGAGCCAATACAGGACTATTTTACCACCAGGGATAGAAATATGAAAAGAAAATGATATAGTCTCAGAGGTCCTCTACTAACACGTTGAACTTATCTTAGTATTTTAGGTCAGAGAACATTACCGTTTGATGATTTGTACCTGAGGAGTTTGAAGAATTCCTCCAAACCCAATCTCCACCCTTCTGGCTTTCATCACCTGATACTCTCTGTACACATTGTTAGAGTCTTCTTGTGAAATCCTGGATGCATCAGCCAAATGGCGTTAGTAATAGATGCAGCCACCATATTTAACTGAATGCTTATCACATTTATGTGTTGATCTTCTCTATGTCTGTTCTTCTCTAAAATAAGCAAGAGCTGAACACCCGTATCATTAGTACATCAGTATATTTGTGTTTATACATGTTCACGTACTATTTATGTTGTATGTATATATGAACATTTTTCCATGAAGAGAAGGGGTGTGGAATAAGAAGAAACTAGCATTCATTTACTGTCTCTGCTGGGCAAGCCTTGTAGTGTGGATACCCACATGTGTCACATCACTTTATCCTCGCAATGCCTTACAGTCAATTTTACTATTTCAAGTATTCATATGAGAAAACTTGAAATGTAGAAAGTTACAGTAATTGATATGAAAAACATTTGAACAAAGGGCGTTCAAACATTTGAACATTTGTTTGGGGGTCCTTGACCCCTGAAATGTTTTTTCTTATTATCCAATATGGCATTATTTAGAAATATATTAATAGCATCATTTATTAATTATCTTCAATTAGCACAATCGCTCTGATTCCCAGTTCACTATGGGTATGATTTCATGGAATTATTGGAATCTTAATAATAATCTGTTTTTCAGTCTCATTTTTAGGATGCATTGAGATATAATAAAAACTTAACCAGTAAACTGCAAGACACTATACTAGATTAATTTATTTTCTTGCTTTGGTATTAACTCATTCCAAAAAGTACCACCTTGAGTCTAATTAGTTTAGAGCACTACCACAGACTCCAAATTTTTTTCTCTTATGGGTAGGTAACACTGCAAAAATATTCATGACATCTTAGAAAATAGGATACCCTGAATGTAGGTTGAACCTTAATATAGCGAATGTTGAACTGATGTTATTTGGTAGTGACCGTAGCGTTCATGAGGACATAACAGCAGGTATCTCATTAACAGACTCCTATAAACTATAAACAGGTTTCACACTCTTCTTCTAAAGCAAAAGTTCAGGAATAGATTGAGTAATTAGCATCCTGTGTGCTCCTTCAGATTTACCCATTTTGTTGTTTTTCTTCAATGAACCAGGGGTCCTTACCTTTCTTACTCTATAGGAACAGCCCTGAATCTCTCTCTCTCTCTCTCTCTCTCTCTCTCGGACACAAAGAATCCTTAGAGCATTGCAACAATATAGTTAAGCTGGTAAATGGCTATTCTGCATTCATTTAGTCAACAAATATTTATTAAGCATTTAGTATGTGCTAAACATTATGACAGATACTGTCAGTAATACCAACATACTACTGATTTTTGCTCCCAAACACATCCAGTCTTGTAGAAGTGATAAGACAGGCACCCAATCCATGTCAGTGTTTACTAAGTTCTATAAATGGCGTCCAGAGAAGGGCAAACATTGCTCATTGGCTTTACCTAGAGTTTGCAGTTGATATTCATTTTGGACTGTGGGAGGAGATGTCAGGGGGCTCGGGAAGGGGAAGACATTTCAGGCTCTATGGTGGCAAATGGTATAAAGGTGGGAAAAAATGACCACACAGTGCTTGCAGTGGAGGATTTTTAGAGGCAAATCGTAGCAACTAAACTTAGATTCACATGCTGAATCTAATTTAATCACCAAAGAAGCAGTTAAGATATTGTTCTACAGGCACAGTGCTCTAGTAACTGATTTTGAGAAGACAGTGCTATGATTAAATTGCAGACTATATTGGAAAGAGGGAAAATCTATTGTAATGCTTTTCTCTCTTGTTCCACTAAAATTATATCTTTTCATCCATTTCCCTTCCTGTTATCACTGTCATCACTCAAGTTGGGTTTTGTTCCCCTTTGGTGAATACATACATTTCCTACTACCAACTTGACTCATAATCGCTATTGTCTTCTCTTTAGCTTGAATACTGTATTCAGATTAATACTCCTCAAATTAATTTCATCAGATGACTCTCTTAGTTAAGAACATCAATAACTTCTTTTTGTCCAAAGAGAATTGTCCAAACACTTGATCAGCCCTCCTCTGCTTCCCCTAAGGGATTCTCTTCTGTATTTGGGGGTTGTCTGTTCATGTAACTCCATATCCCTCTTCATTTCACACCACTTCCTCATCCATACTACCCTCCCTCTCCTTTGCAATAATTCTTTGATTTTATCCATCATCCAGACCTCAGCTAAATTAGCCCCTTCTTGGGACCCCTGGGTAGTTCAGCTGGTTAAGCATCTGCCTTCAGCTCAGCTCATGATCCCAGGGTCCTGGGATCAAGACCGGCATTAGGCTCTTTGCTCAGCAGGGAGCCTGCTTCTCCCTCTGCCTCTGCTGCTCCCCCTGCTTTTGTTCTCTCTCCCTCTGTGTGTGTGACAAATAAATAAATAAATCAGCCCCTTCTTTGTAAATACCTTCTTATCAATATAAAACTCTCTGGTCTTAAATCTATATGGCTATCATTATCTAATGCACACACACACATTCCTTTACATTGCAAGCAAAACATTCTTTCTGTATGTGCTGTAGAGTCTTGTATTTTGACTACGTTACAGAATCCTTATTAGCTACTATTTACAGAGTCCTTATTATATACCAGATATGATTCTATGTGTTTTACACGTACTTACTGATTTAATCCTCACAACATTCCTTTCTATTTGAGTAGGTGTGATCATTATTCTTAATACATGTGACGACACTTAGTCAATCCTTAATAAATATTTGCTGACTAACATCATAGCATTCACAAAATATAACTTAGGCTTTCTTTATCAAATAAAAGTTGACCTTTACTTAGTCAACTCAAAAATCTCTTTTATATACTTTTCTTACCATCCATCCATTTTCACCAGGGTAAGTCAACTTTCAAGGAATATAAAAGACTATGAAGGTAGAAAAAGATTCAGGGAATCGGAAACCCTTCGTCAGTTTTTCTCCTGCCCCTTCTATGATCCCTGATTAATACTCATCTTAGCTTGGCTTGGAGAAGACAACGCATTATCTGGTGTCAGTCCACTTCAACCTACAACATAAGGAAGTGGTCTGATTATAGCACCCTCTGTTGGATGCCATGTGTAAAATCATTAAATTATAATCAGTTGGAAGAACCAAGTTAATTCACTGATCTGCAATGTAGAGTGTTGGGTAACTAATAAAGCTGTAATCTACTTACAACAGAATTTTTATATATTATAACATTCTTGAGTGTGGAAACTATGGTTTACACATGATTTGAACAAAATTTGCTCCATTCATTCCCAATTCATTCATATAAGAATTTCCCTTAGATGATGTTAGAAAACTGTTTTCTAGTAGTGCATCCTTTCATCTGTATTAA